AGGGAGGGAGGCAGCCTGCACTGCACCTCTCTCGGGAATGGGAGAAAAGGCTGATTTAAAAGCATATAACTAAGATCGGTGGATCACATGGGAATATGGTCGATTTCTGATCCCCTCAAATTAACGTGATCGAGGCCGATAGATCGGTGCGCCGATCGATCGGTGCACCCCTAGTTTGAATCTTAAAAAGTTCGAGTTCTAATAGAATTTTCCCCATAAGAAATAATGGAAAACCAATTAATTGGTTCCTGGCCCCAAAAAATTACACCGAAATGTTTTTTTAGCATTTAAACACAAAATGATCAGGATAAAACAAGAGCATATACTGTACTAAACACATCTACAGTAAGCACATTTATCAAAACAGTAATTTGTAAAGTAAGAAAATAAATGTGTCCAAACATAGTGTAAAGTTAAAAAAGACGTCTGTGCCTTTGTCTCCATTCCGTCCCGCTCGGTACGACAATATTATTATAATGTATTAATGGTTTATTATTAATGATATTAAAATAACTAAGAAATCTTTATTTTTAAATGTATTTTATTATATAATAATTACTGTTACTGTCTATCATTGTCTAAATGTATTTTTACCTCGCGCGTACAAGTTCTTAGGTTGTTGTTCACGGTTCGACTCCTGAGATTCAGATCGAGTTCTAGGTCATTTTTTTTCTAACTGGTTAGTTCGACTTTTAAGAAATTCAAGTTCTAATGATGCAGTGCTTAGCACTGTTGCCTCATACTTCTGGGACCTGGGTTCGAGTCTCCGCTTGGGTCACATGTGTGTAGAGTTTACATGTTCTCCCCGTGTCGTCGTGGGGTTTCCTCCGGGTACTCCGGTTTCCCCCCACAGTCCAAAGACATGCTGAGGCTAATTGGAGTTGCTAAATTGCCCATAGGTGTGCATGTGTGAGTGAATGGTGTGTGAGTGTGCCCTGCAATGGGCTGGCCCCCCGTCCAGGGTTGTTCCCTGCCTCGTGCCCGTTGCTTCCGGGATAGGCTCCGGACCCCCCGCGACCCGGTAGGATGAGCGGGTTGGACAATGGATGGATGGATGGATGTTCTAATGAGTTTGAGTACTGAGGTACCACTGTATTCATTTTCTGCATAGTAATATGTTAAACACAACTTGAACCTTAACATTTTGCTTTACATGAATTAAAATACAATACACAATTATGTTCACTATATGGACAAAAGTACTGGGACACCTGGCCATTACACCTACAGGAACTTTTATGACATCCCATTCTAAATACATAGGCATCAATATGGAGTTGGTCCCCCCTTATGGAAGGCTTTCCATAAGATTTTGGAGAGTATCTGTGGAAATTTTTGTCCATTCATCCAGAAGAGCATTTGTGAGGTCAGGCACTGATATTGGATGTGAAGGCCTGGCTCACAGTCTCCGTTTTAGTTGATCCCAAAGATGACTGATGGAGTTCAGGTCAGGGCTCTGTGTGGACCACTCAAGTTCTCCCACACCAAACTTATGGACCTTCCTTTGTGCACTGGGGTACAGTCAGAACACAAAAGGGCCTTCCACAAACTGTTCCCACAAAGTTGGAAACATAGAATTGTCCAAGATGTCTTGGTTTGCTGAAGCATTAAGAGTTTCCTTCACTGGAACTAAGGGGCATAAGCCCTGAAAAACAACCCCATACCATTATCCCTCCTCCACCAAACTTTACAATTGGCACAATGCAGTCAGGCAGGTAATGTTCTCCTGGTATCTGCCAAACCCAGACTCATCCATCAGACTGCTAGACAGAGAAGCGTGATTCGTGACTCCACAGAACACATTCCCAGTGCTCCATAATCCAATGATGGCGTGCTTTACACCGTGCCATGTGACACTTAGCATTGCATTTGGTGATGTAAGGTTTGCATGCAGCTGCTCGCCCATGGAAGCCCATTCCATGAAGCTCCTGGTGCAACAGTTTTATGCTGCGGTTAATACCAGAGGAAGTTTGTATCTCTGCAGCCAGAGTGTCAACTGAGCGCTGGCAACTTTTACTCACTATGTGCTTCAGCAATCTGTGACCCCACTCTGTTACTTTACGTGGGCTGCTACTTCTAGTAGAGAAGAAATTCCACAAACTGACTTTTTGCAAAGGTGGCATCCTATGACAGCATCACGCTTGAATTCACTAGCTCTTCAGAATGGCCCATTCTTTCACAAATGTTTATAAACCTGACTGCATGGCTGGGTGCTTGGTTTTATACACCTGTGGCAATGGGTCTGAATGATACACCTGAATTCAGTGATTAAGAGGTGTGTCCCAGTACTTTTGTCCATATAGTGTATGTATTGTGGCATATGCATGTCGCACTGAAACATTGTTATCTTTGCATAAACAGTTAGTCTGCTTCTTAACCTGGGATGTAATTTTAGTGCCTCAGTGTCCAATATGGGATTCCAACCCAGTACCCCCAGGTGACAGGGCTGTGCTCTTTTAATCACAGGATTGCTGAGTGTGTCTGTCATGAATTTTATAATGACTCAGTATTCTTATCTCATTTCAGTTGGTATTGGTGTGTTTCTTGCCATATATTTCTCTGGAAGAGCAGAAATAGCGGATATTGGAGCACTTTTGACTGTCTTTATAGTTCCGATGATTATGTTCTTAATCCCTGGTAAGTATATTAACATATTTTTAATGTACTTTTTGGTTATTTTAGTTTATTTCATTTACTTTGGCCATTGATCTATGATAAATATTGGGTGAGAACTGACTATAGAGCTGTTTCATTTCATATTGTACGTAATTAAATGCCAAAAGGTGTGAAGCTTGGCCGTTTTTTAAAGATCTATTTTTCATTACTAATATATAAATATTATGGGATGTTTTATATCATGTCCCAGCCGAACACCTTTAACACAACACATTTTAATCTGCCTCTTAACCTGGGATGTTCTTTCAGTTCCTCAATGGGGTTCAAACCCAGAACCACCAGGTGACAGTTCTGTGCAGGGTTTTAAATACAGGACCGCTCAGCACAGCTTTGTTCTTATGTGTTTGACCCAAATTTCATGGCTAATGATGTTTGCACTTCATTTCAGTGATTGGGCTTGGGATTTTCCTGTTTCGTTCCATAAAGAGGGGAGCGGCATTTCTTAGATTCTTTAATATACTCCAAAGTAAGTATATTCTCTAGGTGATACATCCCAGATGTTTCAGGAATCCTGCACCTGAGTTAGTTATAGAGTTATTTCTCCTTTACAATGTACTAAATGTAGCAAACTTGTGAACCCTGATCATTTTCCTAACATCCCATAATCTTCTGCCGGCTTATCCAATGGGGAGGCTTGGAGCCCCTCCCAGGAAGCACAGGCAGGGGTGTCCCAGTCCATCACAGGGATTTTCATAACATTTTATTGGTTTTTCTTTGGAAGGAAATTTTGTCCTAGTGAATCCTGTGGATGATACCATTCCCTATTAAGACATATCATGTATGAAGAGATAAATAATTAAATCCTTTAATTATATTAGGTAAATAATAATATATTTTGTTTAATGACAATCATTTTGAACGCTTAGCCGGCCCCGCCCCCCCAAATAAATAAATAAACCTGGGACTCCATTCCAAATCCAGGCCTTGTTTTCAGTTCACCCAGGTAGTTTGTTTATTAAGTACTGATTACCTCACAGGAAAAGATCACATTAAAATTTACCCATTGAGACAGTAGAATGTTTTTACTGAAGTGATTGGGGTCTAACTGCCAGATTTTCTTTAGACCTCAGCCATAAAATTCTGATTTGCAAGCTCTGGAACACTATGCTGTGTCTAACTTGGTCTGTTTTACACTTACAGGTCTAAACGTGATGTTTAATATGCAGATCATTACTCTTTATATCCAGCTTATTGCCTGGATGCAAGGCAGATTTTTACTGGGTAAGTTTTCCCTTAATTAAATGCAGGTTTTGTGGTACCTCCAGTAAATATATTTAATTAATTCTCTAAATTCTCACTATTATGCAAAACTTTACCACTTGGGCAGTGGAACCACGCCAAACATAAATGGGAGGTAGGATATACGTAAACTTTTATTTATAAACCACCAGAATACATAATATACCAGATATGGGGGGGAAAAGCATTTAAATGACTGTGTTTATCTGATGATTTTCCCCTGGAGTTTATGTATGTTATACTTGCAGTGGACGGGGACTGATCCCTGATTGGTCGCTTTAAATCTGACTTCTGTGTGGGTCCTGGACAGCAGGGGGGTGGATGAATAATAATTGCCTGTATTCATAGTAGAATGGGGTGTCTGACAGTGTTTCCTTTATTGTTACTAGTCTATGTAATTGTGAGGGTCATGTGACTGGGACTGTGTACATTTTAGGAGTTGCCCAGACTAACCAACAAGTTGACTTTACTGCTCTGTGAAAACTCTAAGCTTAACATTGACGAGTCACTAAACACGTGATTATATATAACAGTAACCACATTAACGCCACAGAGAACAGCAGGTATGTGGAAGTGCAGGGAAAAGAGATTGAAGCAGTTGAGCAAAAAATGAGTTCCTCAGTATCAGTTTAGTTTGTCATGTATGTTAACACAGAGTCAGAATTACAATGAAATGCGTTGGACAAGAAAACAAATAAGAAAACAAGTCTTTCAGCATTGGAGAAAATAAAGACGTTCCCTAACTTATGGATGTGTATGTTTAGCTGGGGGGTAATGGGTGGGGGGAGGGGGGTGTAGTACTCCCTTTGTCTCTGTAGTGATTTCCGGCTGTGGGTAGAGGAGCCCCCATACCATACTGTAATGGTCCTCCCATACTGTACCGTAATGCTGCGCTCCCATACCATACCGTAATGCTGCGCTCCCATACCATACCGTAATGCTGCGCTCCCATACCATACTGTAATGCTGTGCTCCCATACCGTACCGTAATGCTGCGCTCCCATACCATACTGTAATGCTGTGCTCCCATACCGTACCGTAATGCTGCGCTCCCATACCATACTGTAATGCTGAGCTCCCATACCGTACCGTAATGCTGTGCTCCCATACCATTCCGTAATGCTGCGCTCCCATACCATACTGTAATGCTGTGCTCCCATACCGTACTGTAATGCTGCGCTCCCATACCGTACTGTAATGCTGTACTCCCAAACTGTACCGTAAATCAGCAAGCTCTCAATTGTGCACCTGTAGAAAATACAGGTTACTATTACATTTAATGCATTAATCGATACCTTTTGTGCTTGTTTCTCTACATTTTGACTTATTCAAATTCTATAAATAACCAATATACTTTTGTATAATATTACCGGTGAAACTCTCCAGCGTTTATTTTGGGAATATCGTTATATGTTGTATTCTTTGGAAATGGAAAGATCGATCTTCTGGCCAGATTCAAAAATGAATTATAAACATGTTGCCAGTCGCATAAATAATATATAATTAAATTAATTATTTGATTGCGATCGATTTTCCCCCCAATAATTAACAAATAATTAAGATAATGATTTGTATATCAGTTGCTATGCAATGTGGTGGTGTAGTTTTGTATGACATTACATGCTAATTTAGCATATCGGGTGTAAGGAATCCACTTACAGAGTCTCGTTTCAGCAAAATGGTGGTTTATTGAACAGTAAAAATAATATAAGGTAATACAGTGTAGACATACACCGGGTATTTAACTCGATAATCCCTCACAAACTGATTACCAAGCTCACCAACCTGGGGCAAACCACCACTCTCTGCTCATGGATTCTGAACTTTCTCACCAACAGACCACAAAATGTCAGGGTATGAAACCACATATCATCCACTCTCACACTGAGCACAGGAGCACCTCAGGGCTGTGTCCTCAGCCCAGCCCTTTTCACCCGATTCACACACGACTGCACACCCATCCGCACCTCCAACACCATAGTGAAATTTGCAGATGACACCACAGTAGTGGGACAGATAACAGGAGACGATGAGACCAACTACAGAGAGGAGGTGCAACACCTGGTACAGTGGTGCTCAGACAGCAACCTTGTCTTGAATACATCCAAGACAAAGGAGATTGTTATGGACTTTAGGAGAGCCAGGAAAATGGCATCTCCCCCCCTCCACATAAGCGGAGAGGGTTAACAACATCAAATTCCTGGGCATCTACATCTCAAAGGACCTGAAATGGACTGTTAACACTTCCTACCTGGTGAAGAAAGCTCAACAGAGACTTTTCTTCTTAAGAAGACTCAAAAAAGCCAGACATCCCACTCAGCTCCTTGTCAGCTTCTACAGGAGCACAATGGAGAGCATTCTCTGCTACGGGGCTACAGTGTGGTACTCCAGCTGCATGGCATAGAACCGGAGAGACTTGGCCCAGATAGTTAAGATTGCGCAGAGGATCGTGGGTACCAAGCTGAGAGCTCCCAGGTCTGAACAATGTTTATGCCAGCCGACTATGTAGGAAGGCTAGCAACATCATGAAGCACCCCACCCACCCGGGTTACAAACTGTTTGTCCCCCTCCCATCGGGCAAAAGATTCAGGACCATCAATCACGAACAAACAGACTGAGGAACAGCTTTTTCCCGAGAGCAGTGGCCTCCGTCACAACCCTTCCCACTACAGAACTCTGACCATTAAGTCACTTCCACACCTCTGTATTGCTGCTGATATGCACTTGGTCACTTTAAATCACATTGACTGTAAATACCTATAATCTGCAAATAATTTAGGATTTTTTTTTTAATCCAGCACACTGTAGACTGCACTAGGGAATATATTTTTACATTGTATTTTACAAATAGTTATATTAGGTTTATTTACATACATGTAAATAAAATATGACATATATGACACTGTATTTTATACTGATTTGGTACATTAATTGCTGCTGAGCCGTGAGCTACCAAACAAATTTCGTTGAATTACATCTTACATCTCTTACATTTTATTGAATGGCATCTCAAATACCAATTAAGGACAGTTCTTCACCCCCCTTCACCCTCCCCAACAATGTGCTGTGTGTAGGTGGTGTGACGCATTTGCGTATAAAGAGTGACCCCCTGGTGTGTGAGGATCCTGAGACAGGGACAGGACAGGATGGAGACTTTCACATGAGAGCAAATGGTAGCTCAGCCACTTCTCTGGCCACTGTGAGTTCACTTACCTCTTTAGCACCCTAGTGGTGCCGACTGGAACCCTCATTCTCTCCCTGACCTCCCCCATGGTCATGAATTGCTAACACTGTCTGTATCCAAATGATCAACCAAGAACATTGGGGCATCTTTACTACTTTTCCTTATATAATCCCCCCTTAAACCTTGAGCCTCAGTGCAAGAGCAGTGAGAGGTTCACCCAGAGCATTAGGGGTGTAACGATATTACAAACCGAACCGAAATATTGCGATACACCAACCACGATACGTATCGCGAAACTCTCGTGGCGTACCGCGGTACTCTCACGCCCCCTGCTGCCCATTGTTGAGGTTGACGTCACTTGTCTCTAACCAATTTAACCAATTTAAACACATCTTTATTTTATCACATTTGATTAAATTGTATTAGTAATGATGAGCTTTTGTTCTAAATTTTGTTCTAAATATTATATTCTAAAATTAGTATTAGAATTGTTTTTTTCTGACTAGTCTATATTGGAGGTATTTAATTTTTGTTGTTTACTCAGGTATCCTGACTGGACTAAAAATGTGATGGCAAAGTTAATAAAGAAAAAGTTTAGTTGTTCTTGTTATTAAGTGAATCTCTCTTAATTCCTTCTCACGCTCATGCATTTTAAGCAGCTGAACCTTCAGTTGCCGCTCAACCTCTTGCAGGTCTTGAATCCTATTTGTTTCAGGCACAGGTTCAGGCTGGAGGAATTCTGCATAAGAGTCGTCTAAGTAAAGTTCAATCCTATTCTTCGTGTCCTCCAGTGTCTATTGGGTAGACCACCTGAATACATGATGGCATTCCCACCAATATTATGATCCTTCAAATTTTCTATTGCTAACATTTAAATTCCATCCTGTACTGTCATCCCGTGCTCTCTATGAACCTTTGTCAGAGTGGTGCAGTTCCATAGGTTACCTATGTCGAATAAAGCTTCTTACCAATCCAGTTAGACAAAGATCTCCACAAACTATGTATACTTCCCAAATCCCCAAGAATACTGTCCCTCTGAATTGTTATTCCCACCAACAACTTCAACAGAATCAACTTACAGCAAAATCATTTTGCGGATATCAATCAGTTATGTGTTTAAGTTCTTCAGATCCTATTGCACAATAATATGGCTGTATGTTGTGGGAACAGGGATTATTCAAATATCTAGAACAGGGGTCACCAACATGGTGCCCGCGGGCACCAGGATGCCCCCAAGGACCACATGAGTCGCCCGTGGACCTGTTCTAAAAATAGCACAACTCAGCAGTGAGCAGCGTCTAAAATGTAATTTTATCCTGTTGTTATTCTTCTTTAATCACATTTGCATTTATATGGATTTGTAAATGACAATATCTAAAAAAAGCATTTAAAACATGTTTATTATACATGAAGTTTAGATAAGTTTAGGAGGGTGTTTCAAACTGGTAGCCCTTCGTATGGCTCAGTAACCGTGAAGTAGCCGTAGCCGTAGTCTGTTGTGCTGTGGTTTTCAGTGAGCCTTGGAGTATGTAACCTGAAAAACCTCAAGTGCAGCATTCATTCTTATGTCAGGTTAACATCTTACATTCTGAATCAGGCTGTATTGGTCACCATGGAACCATTTCATTACTGGTCCATTCCTCTTAGATTCTAAGCTTAAGATTGCCCTCCCCACAGGTGTCCACAGTTTCATGTAGCCCTGTCCAATTTGCACCCCAAAGCCCTTTTTGGAGGCAATTTTTGACCAATACTTGTTCCCCTTCTTTAAATTTGGCAATGTTGTGTTTTCCAACATCAT